AAAATGGTTTGGAATCTTTTTATGTTATTTTGAATTGATGAAGCTGTCTATTGACTTGATGTGGGAACAGATAAAGTTGATGCTTCCTACTTGACAGCTGTGTCTGATATAGGGACTAAAGACAGAGACCGTCTGAATTTACAGCTATGTCTAATGTAGTGACAAGAGACCGTCTGAATTTACAGCTGTGTCTTATGTAGGGACAAGAGACAAAGACAGTCAGAATTTACAGCTGTGTCTTATGTAGGGACAAGAGACAAAGACAGTCTAAATTTATAGCTGTGACTTGTAGGCACTACAGACAAGACAGTCTGAATTTACAGCTATGTCTTGTGTGTCTGAATTTACACCTGTGATGTAGGGACACCTGTGAGTAGACAAAGACAGTCAGAATTTACAGCTGTGTGTTATGTAGGGACAAGAGACAAAGACAGTCTAAATTTATAGCTGTGACTTGTAGGCACTACAGACAAGACAGTCTGAATTTACAGCTATGTCTTGTAGGCACTACAGACAAAGACAGTCTGAATTTACACCTGTGACTTGTAGGCACTACAGACAGAGACAGTCTGAATTTACACCTGTGACTTGTAGGCACTACAGACAGAGACAGTCTGAATTTACACCTGTGACTTGTAGGCACTACAGACAGAGACAGTCTGAATTTACACCTGTGACTTGTAGGCACTACAGACAGAGACAGTCTGAATTTACACCTGTGACTTGTAGGCACTACAGACAGAGACAGTCTGAATTTACACCTGTGACTTGTAGGCACTACAGACAGAGACAGTCTGAATTTACACCTGTGACTTGTAGGCACTACAGACAGAGACAGTCTGAATTTACACCTGTGACTTGTAGGCACTACAGACAGAGACAGTCTGAATTTACACCTGTGACCTGTACAGACAGAGACAGTCTGTACACCTGTGACTTGTAGGCACTACAGACAGAGACAGTCTGAATTTACACCTGTGACTTGTAGGCACTACAGACAGAGACAGTCTGAATTTACACCTGTGACTTGTAGGCACTACAGACAGAGACAGTCTGAATTTACACCTGTGACTTGTAGGCACTACAGACAGAGACAGTCTGAATTTACACCTGTTTCTTGTAGGCACTACAGACAGAGACAGTCTGAATTAGAATGTAAACAATAGCACAAACATAGGTGACTTTTACGAGACTTCCTGGGATTATTTATGATATTGTTTACAGATTAGAATCAAACAGGTGTGATCAGTTGATGCAGGTTTTACCTTTACACAAAGGTGTATTGGGGATTGATATGCTGATTGGATTTAAAAATCCGTAGAAGTTAACCTGATTTCATGGATTCAATCATCTCAGCTCAACAGCTAGTATATTCAAGTTTCTTTCCCACAGTAAGACCTCTAACATGCTTCTGTCTGAGAGCACTAAAAAGATTTAAGATCGCTCTGAAATAAAAGAAGGTTGTGTGAGATTAGAATAATGCAACAAAATGTTAATGGTCTTTATGATTTTGAAAGATGTACATGGTTCCCATGGGTGATAAGAAGTAAAAACAATAAGGGTCACCTGTCTTAGACCAAAGGGGTTTCTTTTGATCCCTTCCACATCTAGACTCTTGTATTGATGGAATCGTTTAGTAGAAGTTTAGTTACACTTGTTCTGATGTGTTCAGGTCTCCATGGCAGAATCATTGTAACATCTTGTATTTAACTATATGTGAATACAACTAGTATTTGTAGAGTAATTGAGTCACGCAAGTTCATATGTTAACATATTGATATTTTAGAAATATTGTGTATTCACATAAACTTTGTGATTTTTGTTTCCCTGTTGTCCTCATTAGTACCATTTACCATACAAACTGTGAATTGTGTGGATCTAAGATCCCTCCTGACCAGTTGATGTCACTTAACGGGTATTTATCTTTGGTATTACTTAACCTTGGCCGAGATTGACAATCGTCTGAAAACCTGAGGAGCTCTTCAGTTTGGAGTACACAACTCATTCTAGTGTCTGGATTGACATGTTTTCTTAAACAAGAGTGTAGGGAAGAATTTCAGGGGAATCGGATGCTGAAAGTTAAGAAGTCTGGTGATCTGTGCTACTTAAAGTGATAAATATATAAACAGTTGTATATAAATTTGCAATGTATCACAGACACTTCAAATATATGTAATTCACAGATTAAGTGATAGAAAGTTTTAACTTTACAGTTAGATAGATCCTACACATAGCTTGACCAGAGAACATGATAACACATGATCAACACAGGGATTACTTCAGTTGGGACATCTTCATTCCTGAGTATGCAATATACCAATGAAGGACTGTTACTTGTCTGGAGTTCTCTGGTGACATACCTTTGTATTAAGATGTTTATATATAGCACGTCGTTAGAAACGTTCTTTCTTCCACTTTGTTACAGTTGGTAGCTCTACTGAAGAATTGTTTAACTCTGTGTATGTTATTGGAAACAATTACATAGAATGGTGATCAACATGAATTGTTGATTTAAACATGTGAATACAATACTTGTATATCAATAAACATTCTCTTATGGTGTTGGGTCTAGCGTGATAATTGATGATATAAAATATTTACACAAGTTTGGAGACAACAACTATGACGAATGTTGAAACGTGAGGATTTCTATTGACTTGGAAATAGATACAAAGCAATGTCGACACAATATATCCTTGGATAGATCACCCATGAACATGACACATCAAAAACCTTATTCCTCATCAATAATTGACATCATTGATCGGAGTTGGCAGGGGGTTTACTTACAGGGGAACAGAACTGTTCTATCTCCTGACCTAGTGAGGTGTGAAATATCAGTGTTCACAATGGATTTTATCATTGGGATTGTATCTTCTATAATTTCAAAATTATAAACCCCTCTTACCGCATTTATAAATTATAAACCCCTCTTACCGCATTTATAAATTATAAACCCCTCTTACCGCATTTATAAAGGACAGCCTGGGAAAACTGGAGATCCATGTACCTGCTTCAGGGGTAAAAATACACATTTAGGGGTTACTGGAAACACTGAATATATGGTGAATGACTGATAATTCAATTAAAAGTTATAAATATCAAGATTGTTATATTCTTGTTAGTTCAGATATTACATACAATATATAGTTAATGTCAACTCTCCAATCTAATACAGCAAACATTACAATTCAGAAAATATGAAGGAGTTTGTTCACATTTTTAACATGACATATTAACCCTATCTCTCAATATAGATGTTTAAAGTATGATATTTGTAGACATGCTGCAGTAATTCAGCTAAATATTTGCGGAACGTTTTGGGTAAGGTACACATACTGACATGTATAGTTTGTAATGCATGCATGAGAAATCTGGAAAATTCAAGCTCGGCAGAATTGGGACTATGCAGTAAAACAGGTGTCTTTTGTAGGAACAGTTTGCTGTTCTGTCAGAAACTATTTCTAAAGTTTCCTTTTTGGTGTAAAATTGTGTGGATTTAATATTTGTCTGATTTTAGTTCTGTGGAAAACTGAATTTCATAAATGTTGTATTGGGTTGATAAGGATGACAGTTGTAAGTCATGTCTATTGAGTTAACAAGACAAATATTGACTAATCAATTTAGGTGTATGATATTTGAGCTACAAGGGAATGCCTATGTTGGATATATAATAAGAACTTGGCAACAGAAGAAATTTACCTAGTAAAAAGATATATTGTAACTCAAGTGTTTCTTGCTACTGCATGGGTAGGTGTCAAGAGTTGACGTATTCTAAATCATCTCAGCTGCTCTTTCATGACAAGTGTTCCTTTTAATCATTGAATGAACACTTTGAAGATTGCTACAGACCCCAGAGTATTATCAGGAAATAGCTGTTTTGTTCAGCTTGATCACCTGATTAAACATTTTATTGACGTAAACAGTGGTCCATATTCACAGTGAATTTTATTTGTTTTGTTTTCAAAGACTTGTGAGGCAACATATCCTAAAACAATTGTCTTAAAATTTTGTCAATAGTTGTGTTGATGGATTATTGTTGATAAACTCACTTCATAAATCCAGCATGTCATTGAAGAGATTTGCTGGAGTAAGGCTGTCAGTCTGTCCATTTTTAGACAAATATTGCACTGCTCATTTCTGCTTTTATAATTGTAAATATTACTTTGTTATGCTCATTTTTTTGTGTCATTTTATGTCTTGTTATCCTACCCTGCATGATGGAACACTTTCGTTATGTGAGTGATTTTGACCCGAGACTGAAGGTACGTCATTCCTTAGTGATAGAAGGTACATTTAAACCTTAGTGATAGAAGGTACATTTAAACCTTAGTGATAGATGGTACGTCATTCCTTACTGATAGAAGGTATGGCTGTTTTTTTTGTCTGAAATGCAACTTTCAGTTTTCTTTGCCAACATTGCTGAAACTCTACTGTGCATTAGCTTTATATTGGTTTTGGCAAACCTTGAATTTTACGTAAGAGTTATTCATGTAGCATGTTTGCTCAACACATAAATATATGAAAGGAGACGTCATTCTTTGGAAACACAAAGTAAGGGATTATATTTCAAATTCTGTACAAACAATATAGAAATGAGAGAACATATAAAAAGTTGGTTGATTGTACCATTGATCCATAGGCCATTCGACATGACAGCATGTTATGTGTGCGTTAAGGGCTTGCTGATATATAGTTATGTCACATAGCTGTTCATTTGGCAAAATGTCAGTCTTTTCATAAAAGTACATTATGCAGAATAAAGTCATGATCTTTAACTATGTAGAGGATGTAACAACATATCGACCTTCCTTTATTGTGTGTTCGGATATAAAATGGCGTCTGTGAGACACTGAGCAGTCCCGTAGACATTCATCAATTCATCGAATGCAGGTCAGTTGTTCATAACAATGGCCAGCATTTTCTAACAATGGTCAGTCTCGTTACAATGGGCCGTTTTTCCTACTGCAGTTTGTTTATAACCTTTGTCAATAACTAGGATGAATTCTGAAGGCTTTGCTCTTGATGACAACAATCCAACACAAACTTTATTGATGTAGGTGTGTGATGTCTGATATTGGACTTCAGTGCTAATTGATGTTGAGATGGCGATATTTCAAAGTTATAAATAATGTCTTGTTAAGGCCATAAACATGAAATACACAAGTGTAACATGTTTTGACTGTAATGGCTTCACTTCTCCAAACTTTACATGTGACACAAAATGGTATACTAACATAAAGTTGCACAAAAGACCACTGTACACCAAATTTGGTATGAGTGAGGCTATCTACTAGGTTACAAGAAATGACAATTCAAGATGACAAGGTCAAATGTGTTAAAATGACCGTCTCAATATTCAAGACATCAAACTTGTTGCATGCTGGGATAGATAGCAAGTTTATTCAAATGAATTATGCAGAAGGAATGACCTTGGTCAAGGTATTGGTCATGTAGCATGCTCGGATGAAGGACTGTCAAATTTAAATGGATGAAAGTTACTCGTTCCCAAGGTCACAGGGGTCAAATGCATTTAAATCATGTAAAACTGGGATGAATAATTACAACATTTTAGTAACCAAGTGATCATGAGTTTTGTTTTTTCACCTGCAATTTATTCATGGTGAATAAAGAATGTTTGAATGAGCTTGAAAAATACCAGAACATGTCATATATCCCTTTTTCAAGCTGCAGAGCAGGCGAGTGATCTGTCTTGTACGACAGTCTGAGGAATTTTGTATTGGGATAGGTACATGTGAAGTGGTATCTCTGTGTATGTATACATAGAATACCATTGTAAACTAGTAAAAGGTAAAAGATACACACACTGTGTGGTCTGTTCTCCTTTCTCACTTACATGAAAATATTTCAGTTAACCAAGCAAAAACAAAAAAGTTAGATTTAATAATGTGTTATGAAATTGTGCATGTTCCTACATGCAGGTTTAGAACTGAAATACAATCTTTATTTACAATATCAATGAAAAAATTAGACAATGAAAAGGGTGTATGAATGTTATTGGTATCCTTTTGAATACCTGGTACAAGATCGTGACAAATTGTTGTTTTACTTATCATTATTTATATATTACTTATTTCTAAAGGTAAAATATTTCACAGAATAATGCTTATTATTAATCTGTGTAAGGAAGGACAATACTACAAGTAGGGGCCATGTACAGAGTCTGTGTATGTTTTCTATTGTATCTACAGAAAATGATTCATTATACATGCACAAACTAAGGACTAGTATATTTATCATATCATTACTCCACAATTTGGTTCAGATTTTCAACCATAAGTAACTGGCGTCCAGGAATAGCATACACTTATTGCGTGATTGAACTGCAGATCTCGAGTGGAGAGTTTACAGAAATAGTATATAACAAACCCACAGTTGATATCAGTCATCCTTATCACTGTATCTACCCAGGACCAATGTGTCCATATCATGGAGGTACCTTAAGGTTGGGATGATTCAATAATGAATCCTTGAAGGTGTAGATAATGAATGTAATTATTACTTATCAGTAAAAACAGACTTTATAAACAGAAAACTGTTCTGATCAGAAATGTTTGTCTAAAGACAGTCTCCTGATAGGAATCTCTTCATCAGTGGAGACTATGATGTTGCTTCACAAAATCTTTTTCATAAGGAATTTTATCATTTTGAGTGTTAACCTTTGATTTATCAACAAACTGTCTTAATGATTGTCAAGGTGCATCAAGAGGAATAGAATTACATTTGTAAACTCTCAGGTCTTAATGAGGTGTAAAAAGGTGATTTAAATCTTCCATGAGTATTATCTTCATATTTCTTTCCCAGGGTATGAAATATTTTTAAATATGCCGAATGTGCATGGTCTATTTCTGTTAAACGGATGAAAGAAGCAGAGTTCAACCTTAATTTCCAACTTGTCAATCCGTCTCTATTGGAGATGGATTTACTTCCATATGGTTTTGTTAAGTCCTGGTAGATCCCTTCTTTCTAAAGAATATATATACGTTATGAATCATTTTATTATAAACAGGCAATTTTATTCAAACCTACCTTCCCAGCATATATAGTTTTGATGAGAATGTACATAGAATTTAAAAGTTGTTAAGAAAAGCCAGTTAAATGTGTCTAGTTAAAGAGTGTTCTGGGTTTTTTTTATGTGGAAGTGACATGTTCTTAAATTTTTTGACATTGAAGTGACGTGACACTGCAGTTCCAGTGTCTAATTGGATTTGTATTCAAACTATTTACAGATTTGTCTGACATAATGCTAATTGAGACTCCATATTTATTGAACATTTGTGTATTGACTTTGACGTTCCCGTTTCACCCCAACCTCCCCTATAGGGTAACTAATCCAAGGCTAACGTCAATATATAATCGTTGTTAATATTTTGTCCTTTAGTTCTCAAGAATGCAAGCAGGGCATGGGAAAGTCTTACCACTCAGCATGTACATAAATATTATACCTCCTGCAATGAAGTTGAAGCATGATATTATACTGTAATCAGGATGTCTGTCCTATTAAATATCTGTCTATCATACAACTCTCCTATTCCACATTTTGCTACATTTTGATGAAACTAGAACAGAGAAAGAGCAAGTGGTGAGCCTCACATACCATAGAGAAAACATACACCATTGCTAGGGGGCTGACATGTGTTTACCAGTGTCATTGCCATAAATTTGACTGGTGTTTACTGCAAGTGTCATTGCCATGGATATGACAGGTGTTTGTCAGTGTCATTGCCATGAATTTGACTGGTGTTTACTGCAAGTGTCATTGCCATGAATTTGACAGGTGTTTACTGCAAGTGTCATTTTGATGAAGATGACAAGTGTTTACCAGTGTCATTGCCATGGATATGACAGGTGTTTATCAGTGTCATTGCCATAAATTTGACTGGTGTTTACTGCTAGTGTCATTGCCATAGATATGACAGGTGTTTACCAGTGTCATTGCCATAAATTTGACTGGTGTTTAACTGTAAGTGTCATTGCCATGGATATGACAGGTGTTTATCAGTGTCATTGCCATGTATATGACAGATGTTTACTGCAAGAGTCATTGCCATGTATATGACAGGTGTTTACCACTGTCATTGCCATAAATTTGACTGGTGTTTACTGCAAGTGTCATTGCCATGGATATGACAGGTGTTTATCAGTGTCATTGCCATGAATTTGACAGATGTTTACTGCAAGAGTCATTGCCATGAATTTGACAGGTCTTTACAAGTGTGATTGCCATGTATATGACAGGTGTTTAGCAGTGTCTGTCATTGCCGTGAATTTGACACAGGTGTTTACCAGTGCCATTACCATGGATATGACAGGTGTTTAGCAGTGTCATTGTCATGAATTTGACACAGGTGTTCATCAGTGTCATTGCCATGAATTTGACTGATATTTACAAGTGCCAGTGGCATGAAGATGACAGTTTGCAAGGGAGATGAGAAGTGCATACCTGTGCCATCTTCATTAAAGTGACAGAGGTAAATCAATGTCATTGCTATGGAGCTGACAGGTGATAAAATATCAGCACTATTGAAATTTCAAGTAAAGAAAGAAGTCTTTGTTGCTACAAAAGGATCTTAAACAGATTATTCATAATAAAATTTCAGAGTAACCATCAGGTTTTATTGACAAATCTATGACCTAGTGCTTTCTTCACCCTCGCCAAGCCAGTGGTGATGTAATCCCACAGTTGAATCACATATCCATAAATACAGTAGTGATTGATAAATTGATTTTCTAAGCTTAAAACTGGTTTATCTTCCTGTAGATACAGCAGTGATACCTCATTGCTATTGTGACATAATCTGGTTTTAAAGTAGGATTTAACTTAGGAGAAAAGTTACTGTAATATATCAGCCAGACCAACTAAAAGGTTGACTACCATTGATCAGACTTTACCTTTTCATGTCAGATTGTCTGTAAATCTGAGGTGGTTTCAAAAAGTTACTGTGTGTATATATCAATTAAAATGAAAATACAAGACTCCATTTTTCAAGTACATGTATGTAAAAATCTTATGTTGAGTGTGTCTTACTTAAGGAATTATATCTTACACAAGGAGAGGTGAGATTTTATAATAAATCTTCAATGTTTATTTTAGTGTACTAAGTGTTCCGATTAAACATTTGTAGAAACTTGATACGTAAATAGAAAAGTATAGATGATAGATTAATTTTCAGGTGTGAAGTCCAGGTACTGTATAATTGTTAAATGACCAATTAAAGAATGTACTAGCCAAGGTTAAATCTACTGACGTTATTTTATTCCTGTCTCCACCGTCACAATCTATCAGCGCCACCCTCAATGTGATCAAGATCACTTTGTGAATGTTCCATCTCATAGCTTTAAGGATATATACAATTTGTATGGAGGATTTGTTAATTGTTAGAAATCTCTCCATTACTGTATTGTGTTAAGGGAAAAATGCCAAGAAAAATAAAATAACCCATTAATAAGGCATAAAAAAGTCTTGTTACTCAACATAAGTAGAGATCACCATTTATTTAAGATTTATCATACAACATGTGATCCAAACTGCACATAAAATGTTAATATCTTACGCTGCTTTATGAAGGTCAAACCTAGTCTGATATACATTACTTTGTTATAATAAGGAATAATCAAACTTCACCTCTAAAATGCAGGTGTGCCTCTCATAAATTTCTAAATTAGTTGGTGATACTTAAAATATAGATTTACCCCTGAAAGACCTCAATTGGTGACACTTGAAATATAGATGTACATCTCAGAAGTCTCAGTTAGTTGGTGACACTTAACATGCAGGTCTATCTCCAAAGATCTCAATTTGGGGATGAATGTTTAGATACAGGTGACCCATTACTTCCAGCTCTTAAAGATCTCAATTTACCTTTTATACTTGAGAGAAGGCACTGCTTCTCAAAGATCTTCATTGGTTCAGAACACTTCAAAATTGCTTTTGACATCTTTTTGTGCAATTTTCATTGCTCATGAAAATCCATGGTAACCTGTATTTTCCAGGATCAATTAAGTAATAAGGCGTCTGTTCAAATCATCAAAGTA